ACGAGCTTCATTTTCTCTGCTCGCCCACTCGGCCCATTTGCCACCCCTAGGGTATAATGTTCTTTTCCAGGATAAGAGTTCTAAGTTTGTTGGGCCGTGTGAGGATGTGTAAACCCATTCTGCTTTACAATATGAATTAAAATCGGAAATATTAATAAATTTAGTAAAATATATAATTGAAAAGTTACAGGTCATATTAAATATAAAATTAAAATTAATTGTTGATTTTGACTTGAAATTTTTGTAAACTTTTAATCTACAAGGGGCATAGTTTGCCTTATCCCATTTTTTAAAATTCTTTTTTTTCTTAAATTCGTTTTCAACAACACATATAATCAAATCCATAACATTTATAAATTTTTCAACCACGTATTTAAATAATTTTTTTTAAAATTTACTAAAAAAATTATTTTTATCCAAACGAAACAGGCTTAATAATAATGAATGCCACGCTTCATGCCACGCTTCACAAAATTGATCTCAAGGAATGGTCAACCCAAATGCTTGGCAATTTCCTCCTTGTATTCTAGAGCTCTCCAGGAAGTCTCCTTGTTCACGTAGAGATTTCGTAGTTTAGAAATGGCAAATAAATTCGCCCTGCCCCTTCCCAAACCCGCCCGTGAAGAAGGAAAAAAATTGTTAGTTTAAGCACCATTCGACTATTTACTTTGAATTTTAAAATTTTGAATTTGTATTTTATTATCTAATAATAACATAATTCGAAATTTTGAATATGTAAAAAATAATAATAAATAAATCAATAAATACAAACGGGACAAACCACTGCCCCGCCCCATCTAAGAGGGGGCGAGATGGGACACCCGACCCACTGCCATCCAAGCTCCACAAACAATACCACTAATATTATGACAATCTCTAAACAAACAAATATAAAAATAAATCCCACTAACTAACATTTACATTAATTAATCAGCTTATTAAATTAATTAACCTTTTCCCCCATGAATTGTCCTTTTTGCTTTAAATAATAATAGCCGTCCATTATATATATTTTGTGAACCCGTCAAATTAAGTATTTGTTTATTTTTTATTTTTAACGCTTTGTTTTTCAATTAAACTTTATAGGATTTCTTTTCCTCTGAGTATCATTAGTGACTCTTGCTGCACTTTTTGATTGCCTTGCCTCGTATTTTCTCTTATATTTGGTAACATAATCAACCATAAAGGTTGTCATGCCTCTGCCTATGTGACTGTTAGTTAAGCAAAATATCAAGCGAGCACCTCACTCCGTCGACACTACCACGTCGTCTAGGGTGATTGTCACGTATTGCCTCTCCATTTTTTTCTAGGAGATAAAGTCAAATCCCATCATCTCGCCCGCTCTCTCCCAAGACGTTGTAGGCATTACCCAATGTCTTGCCTTCATACCTCCCCCGTCCCCCTAGAGGTGTAGACTTGTCATTTGCCCTTTATGAGGCAACAAAAATAAACTTAGTCTTTAGCCACATCAAATGGGCCTCTTCGATCGAAGTGGTTGAGGCATGACCACGATGCTCTACGTAAATTACAATTCATGAAACCTTGAATGACATGTAATTTGATTAATTTGGCATTTTTCTAAAGGTGACTTAAGTAAAATACTTGCAAATTTTTCTAGGACAGTGTAGAATCTGGATGTGAGCCAAATTCTTTGTTAAATATAATTGAGAGTTCTAATTAAAGCACACGTTAAGAGAAATTCTATTTGGAATGCTTTTGAAATCCTATTCGAAGTTTCTTGGACAAATTTTGGATGAAGGTCTATTTTAAATCCTATTGAGATTTAGAATTTGTATTGGACTTAAAGAAATAAAGATAAGAAAACTTTTGAACAAGTCTATTTTATCTAGAACTCTATTCTAAGGTTTGGATTGTTCCCTATATATATTGGGTTCTTTCCTACAATTTAGGTTGGGTTGTTTAACCTCATTATAAGTTAGAAAAATTGTAAACACATAATCTTTGTTCTCTTTCTCCATATTAAGATAAAATATTCATCTTCTGCAAATTATTTTTCTTCTTGTATTCTTGTGATATTTATTTTATATAATTGTCTTAATCTTTTATATTTTCATAACAAATTGGTATCGAAACTATTCCACTTTCAATAAAGTGGTTTCAAATTTGGTCCGATTCATAACAGACGGGGAGTGGGAGATCACATGCCTATAATGGCTATTGTGTGACATTTTTTAGCTTGACATGTAAGCAGTGGGATGAAGTTACATGTCAAGCATCCAATGAGCCTCATTTACATCTCGTTTGCCTATAAATACTTAAAATTGGTGTCATTTGAAAGTAAAAACAATTTAGTAATATCAATCTCAAATATAAACTCCTTGTATTCTCTTTTTTCTCGTGTTTTTCCCACACCCACATAATTGCCTATTTGTTTAACTTGAGCGTCTAATTGTACGTGATCATTGTCTCTACCCTTTTGTAGTTGGAAGTCCGGTTGTGATTTTTATGTGTGTCCAAGTGTTCAAGTAACATACACGTGTAAGAAAAAAGAGTTGGAATATGTTTACAACTAAGAGGTAACAAAAGTTTTTTGCAGTAAATGATATTTCTACAGTCTCTAAGATTGTGTAAGAAAAACAAAATTATTTACAGGATGTAAGGAGATGATATTGATCACCAAAGATAACCCAAGCTCAGTTTATACCCACTTCCTATACCACAAAGCCGAAAACTACGAACCCAAGACAATACCAAGTTTACTTCCGGTTGCCAATGAGATATATCACTTATGAGACCACAAAAGAGTAAGAAATCTCATAAACTATCACCACTAAGATGATAGACAAAAAGAGACAGAGAAGATGGAAGAAGAAACCATGAGAATTGGCTAAGAATAGGAGGCGGCGACGGGTCCCTCAAAATAAGAGAAAGAGAGTGACCCAAATAAGGTAAGTATAGGTATGTTAAACAATGGGTCAAATTAGAGGCCCAAGAGACAATTAAATAGGCTCACAATATATTCTCCCAATTAATGGCCATCCAAGGAAGTGTATTGGGCCATGAGCAACACTAAATTATTTAGGTTACTTCGAGTGGCCCAGGTCGTATTGTTTCGAATGTGGTGTTGGATTTTCGTTCAGTCATTTGGCTAGGCCGACTGAAAACTTAAACCGAGCCCGGGGGAGGTCGTTTGACAACAAATTGCTTAACAACCTCCACCTTAGTGTCAAAAGACCTGCAAAAAGAAACGTCTTCCATTAGTGACACCTCTAATAGAAAAACGATAAAATTGAAAATCATTTACCTGTACAAATATTTAGAAGATCCTTGCAACTTCTAAACTTTACCAATGATAGCACTTTTATACCCATATATGAAGGGTTGTATTGTGTGTGAATCTTTTCAAGTCTTACCACCTCTTGAGATACTATATCTCTAATAAAGTGTAATATAACATCCATGTGTTTAGTGCGTTTGTGAAAAACAGGGTTCTTACATAAATGTATGGATGACTGACTATCAGAATACACAACCACATACTCATTCAAGACATATAATTCATGAAGTAAACATCTAAGACATAAGGCCTCTTTAACTGCTTTAGTAGTAACAATATACTCAGATTCAGTGGTGGATAGTGCAACAATGTGTTGTAACTGTGATTTCCAACTAACAGATGAATTTGATAGGGTAAACACGTAAGAGAAAGTCAATTTCCTACCATCCCTATATCCCGCATAATCAGCATCTACAAAACCCTTCAATTTCACGCCTTCCTTATTAGCACTAAACTTCAGACCTATGTGACCCGCACCCTTCAAGTACCTGAATAACCACGTTAATGCTTCCCAATGTTCAGGGCCTGGATTAGCTATGTACCTACTAAGAGTACTGACAGCAAAACCTAAATTCGATCTAGTGCAAACCATCAAATACATTATGGAACCAATCACATTAGAATATGATACTCTACTCATGTATTCTATTTCACGTTCGTTGCAAGGAGATTGTTCTTTAGATAAAACAAAATGGCTAGGTTTGCAATCACTCATATTAAATTTTTTCAACACTTTGCATATGTACAGAGACTGATGCAAGAACAAGACGGAATTTGACCTATCTCTTTCTATTTCCATGCCTAGAATTCTCTTAGCCTTATCTAGGTCTTTCATGTCAAATTCACTAGCTAGTTTTGCTTTTATATTATTTATCCACTTAGAAGAAAATCCTATCAAAAGTATGTCGTCCAAATAAGGCAACAGAAATAGATAATTATTATCAGTCTCGTTATGTTGAAAATATAGACAGTGATTAAATTTACTTCTTTGGAACCCTATAGTGAGTACAAAGGAATCAAATCTCTTGTACCACTATCTAGGTGATTGTTTTAAATCATACAGGGATTTTTTTTCAGAAAACACACATAATCAGGTTTTGACTTATCCTTAAAACCTTTTGGTTGATTCATGAAGATTTGTTCATCAAGCTCACCATGTAGAAAAACAGTTTTTACATCAAGTTGTTCAAGTTCTCAGTCAAAATACGCAATCAAAGCAAGCATGACCATAATAGTGGTGTACTTAATAATTGGTGGAAAAAATCTCATTATAATCAACGTCCTCCTTCTGTGTATAACCCTTAGTCACTAACCTAACTTTAAACTTTAAGCGTTCCGAGCCACTAGTACCTTCCTTAACCTTAAAAACCCATTTGCAATCGACGATCAATTTGTTCTTAGGCCTAGGTACTAGCTCCCAAGTTTGATTCTTTTCTAGAAAACTCATATCTTCTTTCATCGCTTTAAGCCACTCCTTAGATTGATCATTACCTATTCCATCTTCAAAGATTTTTTGCTCTTTATCAGCTAGTTCTTCGGAAATAGCGTGGACAAAAGCTAATTCAAATTCAAAACTGAACCTTCTAGGTTCTCTCGTCTGTCTCCTCTCTCTATCCCTAACTAGATTATAATTAGTTAAGGGATTTTCTTTTTCAGGGTGTTCTTCTATCACTACTTCGTTACTGTTCTCCACTTTAGGTCCCTAAACCTGAATCTCCACCTCAATTGGAGTAGTAGGGACAGGTGTACTAAATTTTCCTAACTCCACCTTAAACCGATGTCTCTCCTTACCTGGTTCAGCTTTACTCACAGGTTCGATTTTCCCTTTAATACACGGCATCTCATTCTCGTTAAATGTGACATCCCTACTCACGATGATCTTAACCCCCTTTTGACTTCTATCCCATAATATGTATCCCTTAGCACCCTCGGGATACCCTAGAAAGACGCACTTTCTAGCTCTAAGTTCCAACTTTCCCTCGCTTTGATGAGAAAAGGCAGCACAGCCAAAAGTTCTAAACATAAAATAATCACTCAGTTTACCTGACCATCTCTCATATGGAGTGTCACAATTCATTGCTGCAGATAGAGTCAAATTAATCAAATAACAAGTAGTCATAACAGCCTCACCCCAAAGGGGACACTAGAACTTAACATCATGCAATGCACTTTATCAAGTATGGTTCTATTCATCCTTGCGGCTACCCCGTTTTGCTGGGGAGTGTAAGAAATAGTCTTATGTCTAGTTATGTCATTTTCTTTACACATACTCTCAAATTCCGTGTTGCAAAACTCTAGGTCGTTATCTGTCCTTAAAAAATTGATTTTCTTACCAGTTTGGTTTTTCACTTGTCTCTTCCAGTTATTGAAATTATAAAAAGTCTCAGATTTAACTTTCAATAGATAGGCCCACATTTTTCTAATATAGTCATCGATAATAGACAGGAGATACATATTCCCACCCGATGTGGGATTACTAGCAGGACTCCACAGATCAGAATGCACATATTCAAGCATGCCTTTAGCTTTATGAACACTCGTGGAGAATAAAGTTTTATGATGCTTACCAAGTACACAATGATCACAAAATGACAAATCTGACACACAGTCATTACCAAATGCACCTTTTTCATTAAGTAGCTTAAATCCCTTAATGCTTACATGTGCAAGTCTATTATGTCATGTGTGTGTGTAATCAATCTTGACAGAAGAGATAGAAGAGTTCAAACCTCTAATCACTTCCCCAGTAGTGATATAGATGTCGTTTTTCTCAGTTCCCTTAATGAAAACTAAAGCACCCTTAATCATTTTTAGCATACCATTTCCAATTTTACTAGTGAAGTTATCATTTTCAAGTCTCCCTACTGAAATCAAATTCCTAGACAATTCAAGAATATATCTAATCTTTTAACGTGTACACAAAACCCGTGTGAAATTTTACGTTTATGTCACCAATTCCAGCAATAGTATAGGCATAGTTATCACATAGCACAACATGCCCAATATTAGATTCATGTAAGTTATAAAATCAATTCTTTTCAGACATCAGATAGAACGATCACCAGAATCAAGTATCCACTCATGCATGCGGGAATTAGCAGTTAGATTTAATTCAACAGTGTATGCAACTGGACTTATAAGCATATAGACCTCATCGTTATCTATCTCAGATATAGAGGACAACACATTTACCTCATCTCTCTCCTAAATCTTTAACTTGCCCTTTTCTTTATGGAAGTCTTTTATAAAATGCTCTGTGTTTTCACAGCCATAGCATTTTCTGGCCTTCGTCCTAGATTTTGATCTAGATTTACCCTTGCTGTTCTTTTCCATCCATTGCCACTTGACTCGCCACCACTTTGATATCCATCATGACTATTTTGCCTAAATTGAGTTCTAACCGGCATCATATGTAACTCACCACTCCTCTTATCATGTTTTTCAGCCCTAATTTTCATCTCTTTACTCCTAAGAGAGTCTATGACAATTTTAGGTGTCAATGTATCTCTACCATACTTAATGGAGTTCTTAACTTCCTTATAGGAATCAGGGATCACATTGAGAAAAATTATAGCCTTATAAGTTTCGGACACAGCCTCATCACAATTAACTATATCTTGCACCAACTTGTTAAACACGTCTAAATTGTCATCGAGATCCTTTGAAGGATCTATTTTAAAACTGAAAAAACCTTCTAACAAGCAGATTTTATTCGATGTAGATTTAGACAAATACAAGTCTTCTAATTTTTTTCCAAAGTTCTTTGGTGGTTTTCAGTTTACACACCTTTCTTAAAATGGCGTCAGACAAGTGTAAAATTATTGAAGTGTAAGCAAACTCATCGGCTTCTTTTCTTTGTTCTTTTGAAAAATCAATTGAAAAATTGTCTTCAATGGCCTTTGAAACATTTTGTTGGACTAAAATACCCTTCATTTTTTGTTGCCAAATAGAAAAGTCACCCTTTCCATTAAAAATCCCCAAATCAAAATTGTGAGTTGTCATCTTCACACAACAGTTAAAGGATGCACAAAACACAATCAAACCATACAAACTAGTCCTAGGGTCATAGACAATATACTCCGTTCTAGATTCTTAGGATTTCGTAAGACTCGCAGTCTTAGATCAAGGGAATGTTCAAAATGGGTAAAGTCACTATAATTCTAATGGAATTAATAAGCAGCGAAAATAACAATGCAACAGAAAATTACATCTAACAGATAATCAGTTTCACGGCAATTATATCACTAAGAATAAAATATTGATTTAACTAAAAGTCATATACTCAATCAAACAATTAAGAGCACATAACCCTAATTTCTAGCATAAGCAATAAGCCCCAAACCTAATAATCACCCCCACACGATGATCTGCTAGTGCAAAAATATAAATGTTTCAGTCAATTTACCAGAGCCGACCTATCTGAGTCCATAGTGTGGAGAGATGCGAATTTGCTGCTTTAGGGCCCCACTATTCGCTTTAAAGATTCAGCAAATATAACAATTCCGATCAGCAACAAATGTAGATTGAGGTCAAGGACGAAATCGTCCAACTTTTCCTGCGCAACCTGAACCACTAAACCAAACACATCAAAATGTTCAGGAGAATGAAATAAACGAAATGGTAGAAAAAATCACGCTGCAGGGCCTCCCACTCGCCTCATCGGACCGCCGCCGTCGCCACCACACACTACCTCACAGGGGGCCCCTCGACCTACTGGTTATGGGTCCGAACTTCGTTTGTCCAAAAGAGATCCAGTTTGGGAGTAATTAAAGGATTTAGGTTCGATCAGTTTGAAAATGGTGCCTTTCTCTCTCGATTTTGGACTGTTTTGACATAAATTAAAGCCCTACGCTCTGATACCAAATGTAAGGAGATGATATTGATCACCAAAGATAACCCAGGCTCAGTTTATACCCACTTTCAACACCACAAAGTTGACAACTACGAACTCAAGACAATACTAAGTTTACTTTCGGTTGCCAATGAGATATATCACTTAGGAGACCACAAAGGAACAAGAAATCTCATAAACTATCACTACTAAGATGATAGATAAAAAGAGACAGAGAAGATGGAAGAAAAAATCACGAGAATTGGCTAAGAATAGGAGGCGATGACGAGTCTCTCAAAATGAGAGAAAGAGACCAATTTATCTTTCAATCAAGTAGCCCAAATAAGGTAAGTATAGGTAGGTTAAAAAATGGGTCAAGTTAGAGGCCCAGGAGACAATTAAATGGGCTCACAAGATATTCTGTCAATTAATGGCCATCCAAGGAAGTGTATTGGGCCACGAGCAACACTAAATTATTTAGGTTGCTTCGAGTGGCCCAATTAACCTTCGGGTCGTATCGTCTCGAATGTGGTGTTGGATTCTCGTTCAGTCATTTGGCTAGGCCAACCGAAAACTTAAACCAAGTAACATCATAGCGCGGAGGAGGTCGTTTAACAACAAATTACCTAACACATGAGCATTTGTTTCAAGAATCTATCACCTATATATGAAATCGAACCAAATTGCAACTATTGTTTGTTTTGCATGTTGAAATGATTAGTTTGCTTCCATGTACGAAAATTATAATGCGCGCACATGTGTGTGTTTGTACACATATATTATTAGATCCTGGTATTTGAAATCACTGCAAGATAGTTTCTATTTTTAAATTTATTGTCCATTTTTAAATTCCCAAGTGATTTCATGAGTATAGCTCGATGAAGTTGTAATTTCTAGGCTTCTACTCGAGTTGTCATTCTGGCTTTTAGTAGCAAGTTCTTTTGGACAATGTCAATATTTATATTAAAAATTACTCCTTTATATGGATGACTACATTGTTAGAGTAGGAAAGAAGACCTTGAAAAGATGAGTGGGAATAGGCTATGATGTGATCCAGGAAACACAAGCGACAAAGTCAAGTCCAACGTCAAGCCCGGGGAAAGATCCGTTGATAGTCGAAGGTAGGCCAATGACGCGAGTGAGGATGAAGCGAGTGAAAGAGGCAATGGGATTGCTTGCCAAGGCGACCACTGATGAAACCATGTTCAGGATTCAAAACGGGACAAGTTTCATGTTGGGGACGAAGGCTAAAGAAGTTTGGATTAATGTATTTCAAGTGACGAAAAAAGGGAGCTCAACCGAGAGCTATGTGGCTGTCCAACCCATGCGGTCACAACGAGGGTGGCAGGGACTTCGAGCCAGGTGAAAAGTTGTACTATGCGACTGCATAGAGGAAAACTTAGGCGGATGTTCTATTTTTGGCGAGAAGTTTATTTTCATTAAAACTCTTATTATTTGGTAACTTAATATTGCTAGGAGTTTATAATTTCATTTTCAATTATTTTACTAGAGTTTTTTTCCTTTTAAAACTAGTTCCTAGGTTTAGTATAAATATGAATTTTTTTCTACATTGTAGGAACTTTTTTGACATTATTATTATCGAGATGCTTTTATTGCTTTCTTCCTGTGTTCGTCAATTGGACAATCTGCAAACTTATCAAGATTTAAATCTTGTGACGTTCAAATCAACCGGGTGAGATTCAAATATTTTTGTGTAATCAAGAGGTCTGCACATTGTCGGTGATTCAGTTTGCTTGATTTCAAATTTATTGAGTTTAATCCAAAACCTTACTTTGACTTTCTTGGGTTGATTTATCGTGAGTTTGGTAGGGTTTGCCTACGCAGGTTCACATCAATTGGTATCAGAGCTTAGACTCCAATCTAAGGTTATATCTCTTTTAAATTCTTGTTGAGTCAGTTATCTTTTCTTTTCTTTTGTTTTTGTTTTCGGTGTTCTTCAAGTCAACCATTAGTTTTGAGTCGTTGATCAAAAAAAATTTCAAAAGTTGTTTTTAGATTCAATTTGCATCCAAATCAACTTCCGTTTGTTGCGTTAGCATCGTTGTTGATTTTTCTATCTCAAGAGAAAAAAATTATTGTTCATTGTACGGCACTGTTCATCCATACAGAAATAAAAAAATCCAAAAAAAAAAATCCGACTTTAAAAAAAATTGTTATTATTGCTATTGATCTTGGGAATTTACCGGCTTCATTAGTCCATTTTATTATTTGTGTCTAGTTTAATTTTCCAGCCAATTTATTCTTCTATTTTGTATCCTTGAGTCATTTTCTTTGTTTTGTCTAGTCTGAATCGTTAACCAAGTTATTCTAAATTCTTCGGGCTTATAATCTAGCTCACACTGGTTTGGATTCCACTGATTAAATTTTTGATTGAGTTCCAAATTGTTCTTTTGAGGCACTTGGTGAAAGCAACGAGTGGTAAAAGGCAGAGTGATGAGAACAATCGAGGGAAAAGCCATATTGAGTAAATTCCGAGTAAAATTTGTGAGGCAGAAAAATAAATTAGATTTAGGATGTCGAACAGGGAAGGATCAAATCCTGGTAGAATTGATGATTAAATTACTATGCTAGAGGAATCGATACGAAGGATTGAGATGATATT